GGATTACTGTAGCACTATATGCAACAGGGCAAATTAATGCACCTTATTTTTTTAGTTTCCTAAAATGCTCGCGTACATATATATTTTTAGAAATATTTATTTATGTATTTATTTTTACATTTATTTGTCATTTAAGGAAGTGAAAATGTCAGTAGTCAGTGTACATCCTGAACAGAAGTAGCTGTTTGTGTTTATTTACAGTGCAGCTACAAACCTGAGCTCTTTTATGGTGTTGTTGTAGTTCGGCTAAAATCGACACCTTGGTGTGGAATTCCGAAGCGAGCCGAGAGTGTTTACAGTGTAACAGCGCAGAGTGTATCAGTTTGTGCTGGATACATTTGAGCTGTATACATTTGAACTTTATACATTATAGCGGCTGAAATGCTTTCACATTCCATTTCCAGCGCCCGTTATAGAAACACTCCTCTCACCGTTATAGCCCGGTTTCCAGTCGTGTAAGAAGAGGTATGTGTCAAAACCTACCGAGATAACTAAACGGCATGTTTGCGTTGTCAGAGGCGCGTCCAGCAGTTTGACAGCTCACTCTCCAAACTGACGATGATGACCCTTCAAAACATTGAAACCTACTTTCGGAGGGCGAAACCTATATTGTCTTAATTTTTTTAATGTTTAATGTTTTTGATATCAAATGTGAGGTATAAAAAGTATAGTATCAGATGGTGATACCATGGTAGTGAGTGATTATCATATATATTATGTACCAAACAAAATATATGATTCTTCAAACTACAGTATATATAATGGTTTGTTTTTGATTATTGATTAATTTGTCTTCAGAAACAGTTTTTATTTTATTATATATATATATGTGTGTGTGTGTGTGTGTGTGTATATATATATGTGTGTGTATATATATATGTGTGTGTATATATATATGTGTGTGTATATATATATGTGTGTGTATATATATATGTGTGTGTATATATATATGTGTGTGTATATATATATGTGTGTGTATATATATATGTGTGTGTATATATATATGTGTGTGTATATATATATGTGTGTGTATATATATATGTGTGTGTATATATATATGTGTGTGTATATATATATGTGTGTGTATATATATATGTGTGTGTGTGTGTATATGTATATATATATATATATATATATATGTACCATGGTATTCTTTGACATACTTTGAAATGTTGTGTAAATTCTGTGGTATGTGAATCATTCAGTACCGCACTATTACCATCTTTATCATAGTACCATGTTACCACCATAGTCAGGGAAATCTAGGCCATCATGAAAAAAATCGTCTCTTTTTTTAAACAAATGTTAATAACCAAAATCTAGTCCAATAACCAAATGAGAGTGTAGGAATGTAGGTCAAAGATGTGACCGTTTGCCCCAGTGAGCAGGATTCATCTCCGTCGTTGCACACCTGTTTGGACTGTCAGGAATAATCCAGAGTCCTGAACAAGTTCTGGCTTAAAAAGCCTTCCAGAATATATTGTATTGTGCGTTTTTATTACAGTAGCAAATGGAAAGATTAAGATCATTCACAAAGAGGGAGAAACATGTGAATGAAAAGACATAACAAAGAGATTTGTGTCTGTTACTGTATAAAGAGACATGGAGAAAAGCACAGAATACGCATGCACTGTCATGTATTTTATCAGGACTCATTGTGATTTGTGCTGATTTCAATGCAATGTTCATTTTGTCAACCCTTTAAACTTTATGCTTTTTGTCATCATTATTTTAATCAAGTGTGTATGGTAATTTATAAATAGTCCAAGCCAGTTAAAAAGGAAACTGCAATGCATTGACTGATATCAGATGGTAATGCAGTGGTACTTTTGTATTTACCATAGTACTTAAGTGATCACCATATTCTTATGCTATGATATTTACCTGGTACTTCAGAAAAACTATTGTTTTAAATTGTAAGTTGACAGTATTACAGTGGCATCCAAAAAAAATTAAGGTCACACTGAAAATCTTGAATTTAGGATTTTGACAATTAAAGAAAATGGTAAATGTAAAAAAATAGCCTGCACTATTTCTAGGTCACTAATCAAATCTAAGCAAATTTGTGACATCGACCATGCAAGTCATTTGTACAAAAGGTCCATTGAAGCACAAGATGCTCTTGGAACATTCTCAAACCTTGCTGCATTACATGAATCATCAGGTTTTCCCTCAACTTGTGGATTAAATCAAATTATAGCAAAAGGGGACAAGCCAAATAGTGTTCTAAAATTCAATCAAAGTTTTAAATTAAGTTTAAGTATTAATTAAACTTAAGTATAGTATTGTGAAATATTATTAGAATTGAAAAGGAATATTTTCTATTTGAATATATTTTAACTATAATTTAATTTATTCCTGTGATGCAAAGCTGAATTTCCAGCATCATTACTCCAGTCTTCAGTGTCACATGATCCTTCAGAAATCATTCTAATATGCTGATTTGCTGCTCAAGAAACATTTATTGTTATCATTGTTGAAAACTGTTGTGCTGCTTAATATTTTTGTGGAAACCATGATACAGTTTTTTCAAGACCGATGACTAGAAGGAAAAACATTATTTAAAATATATATTTTTGGAATATTACAAATGTCTTTACTGTCACTTTTGATTACTTTAATATGTCCTTGCTGAATAAAAGTATTAATTTTTTTTTTTTTTACTTTAAAAATGGCATTATATCGTTCATATGCTTATCTATTTAAAAAAAAATTAGAATTTTTAACAATGTAGAAGTTTTCACTTATTGACCCAAAACTTTTTTTTTTTTACATATTATATTTATTTTAATATTTTTGGAATGAAAAATGGTAATAGTTTAGAGTAATTTTACTCTGAGACCTTTGGATCCCACTGTTTATCAACATCATTTCTATTGTCAATCCACATAGCTCTATCCCCAGCCAGAACTAAACTTTGCCTGCCTGTGACTATTGCAGGAGAAGCTGGAGGCACTGTGAGCGTGAGCGAGTGAAAGCAGGTGAAAAACGGAGGACTGGCGGGAGGGAGGGAGGGGGTCGATCAGCTGCGGTGACCGGCGCGAGCGAGGATGACAGATTTTGGCTTGAAGTGGAGCTGCGAGTACTGCACCTACGAGAACTGGCCGTCCGCCATCAAATGCACCATGTGCCGGGCCCAAAGGCACAACGCGCCCATCATCACCGAGGAACCCTTCAAGAGCAGCTCCAGCCTGGACCCGCAGCTCTGCACCACCCAGCTCATCTGCCCTGACTCCAGCGCCCGGCCTCGGGTGCGGATCGCCGACGAGCTGCCCGAGACCAGCAGCAAATGGTCCTGCCACATATGCACCTATCTGAACTGGCCCCGTGCAATCCGCTGCACGCAGTGCCTCAGTCAGAGGCAGCAGGGCTCCCAACACGGCCCGCTCAGTCCGTCTGAAGCCCCACAGACCTCGGACTCGGGGTCCAGACCTACTCCGGTCACCTCGGATCCGTGCGAGGAGTATAACGATCGGAATCGGCTCAACATGCGCGCGCAGCGTTGGCCGTGCTCGGCTTGCACCTATGAGAACTGGCCGAAGAGTCTGAGGTGTGTGGTTTGTGACCACCCTAAACCCAGCGGTTCGCCCGAGGCGCCTCAGCAGGATTCGGAGGCGGAGAGTGCCACGTCCCCGACAATAGTGAATGACCAGGAGCGGGATAACCTGAGGACAGCGGGGGGAAGGGGAGGGAGCAGGCAGAGGAAACTCTCTCCACCTACATGTAAAGGACAGGCGGAGGTGAAGATCGAGCTGGCGTCGGGAGCGGTGGGCAGCGATAACGAGCAGGAGGCGGACTTTAAAAAACTCAAACAGATCCGGAACAGGATGCGGAGAAGCGACTGGCTCTTCCTGAACGCCTGCGCTGGTGAGAAATGAATCCCATTAATGCCAGATACAGTTTCCCCAAAATGTATTTGGACACTTAAAATGCATTTTGAAAATGTCATTGCATTAGATTGAGTGTCTGTAATATCTGCACTCAGATGCTGCAGGAGCTTTTCTCCTCACTAACTTTACATCAGTTTTGCTTAATGTCTTTTAGTCAGCTGGTGTTTTGGTGATTTTTTTTCCCATTTTTTTATGGATGTATGAAGTCAGTAGCTGAGTGTAGTTCATCCCATTAACTAAGAACATGTTCAGATACTTAAATTTTTTTATATATATATGTTAAACCTAACAAACATCTTTATGTGAAATGTTTTGCTTCATACACTGCCGTTCAAAAGGTTGGGGTTGGTAAGATGTTTTTATTGTTTTTTTGTTTTTTTTTAAGAAATCTTATGCTCACCAAGGCTGCATTTGTTTGATCAGAAATGTAGCACAACAAAAAGAAATATTGTGAAATATTACAATTTAATATAACTGTTTTCTATTGTAATATATTTTAAAATTAAGTTTATTCATTTGATACAAAGCTGAATTTTCAGCATCATTACTCCAGTTTTCAGTGTCACATGATCTCTCAGAAATCATTCTAATATGCTGATTTGCTGCTCAAGAAGCAATTCTTAATATTTTTTCGATGTTGAAAACAGTTGTGCTGCTTCATATTTTTTGTGGTACTTTTTTCAGGAATTTCAAAAAGAAAGTTTAAAAGAAAAGCATTTATTTAAAATCTTTTGTAATATTATAAATGTTTACTGTTACTTTTAGTCAGCTGAATGTGTCCTTGCTGAATAAAAGTATTAATTTATAAGTCAAACCCCCAAACTTTTGAACAGAAGTGCACATATACCTAATTTTTTATAAAAATAAATAAATATCACATTTCTTAAATGCATTGACATTATGGTAACACTTTACAACAAGATCGAATTTCTGAACAATAATCCAATAGCTAACATGAAACTAACAATGATATTATTTCAGCATTTAATAGTCTTTGAAAATGTTAAATAATAAAAATACAATTATCCATGTTAATGCATTAAGTAATGTTAACACACAACTTTTGATTTTATAACTATGATTCATTAATTCTATTCTAAGTATTTTTCATTGTTAAAGGTAGTTAATGATAACTAATGTAGTTTACTAGTGTTGACCTTGTTATAAAGTGTTCAGTTGTGACTTTGTGTACACATCATTTTTGGGACTTTGTACAATATCTTCTCCCTTTGGCTCACTATTTGATTGGCATGTTTTACTGCGATGTGAAGCTGAAATTCAAAGCTGAATCTTTTGATATCAGCTGGTATCAAACCTTTATTTTCATCACTAAGCCTGTGGGAGACAGTTTGCATGCGCATGGTTTGATGCAAACTGACAGATTTTGTCTCGTGGGCTTTGCTACTAGGGAACACTTCTGTTAGCACTCTGCTTTCCTGCATCAGAGTATGAAATCATTGATCTCTAAAGCAGCGTCACTGTCTTCTGGGAAATACCTATAGCTCCTATAGGTCTGATGGGAATTGAATTTGAAATTTATACTGCAACTTCAAAGAGTTGTGAAAGAGGAAGTCAACCCACTCATATGTAACGCACACTTTCATTAGGTGTAGTGGAGGGAGATCTGGCCGCCGTGGAGGCATACAAGTCATCCGCCGGTGATATCGCACGTCAGCTGACCGCAGACGAGGTGCGGATTCTCAACCGTCCATCTGCGTTCGATGCTGGTTTTACTCTGGTGCATCTGGCCATCCGCTTCCAAAGACAGGACATGCTCGCGGTGCTGCTCACTGAGGTCAGAGTTTTTACATGCATAGACGGAGAGAAGTCGTCTCAATGTGATATTGTAAAATGATTCTATATTTATGAATGTACTTCAGGTGTCTCAGCAGACTGCGAAGTGTATACCAGCTCTGGTGTGTCCTGAGTTAACAGAACAGATCCGCAGAGAGGTGGCGGCAGCACTTCACAGGCGTAAAGGAGAGTTTCCCTGTAACTTCCTCACTGACCTCGTCACCTTCACATTACCAGCAGGTGATCACTCACATTTTCTAAAGACAAACATTTCCTTTCTGCCGCAGGTTCTCACGCATTCAGACCACATGAGTCACAAAAACCTATTCCAAGTGGGCCGATTGTCTGTGATATTTCAACCAGGGTTATTAAAGTTAACTAAAACTGAAACCATGAAACAATTTCTGTTTCTTGAAATAAAATAAACTTTAATTAAATTAAAGTAAAAGTTACAAAATAAAAAAGAAAAGAAAATACTAATGATACTAAAATAACGTTTACCTTAAAATCCACTTAAGATGTTAATCAAGGGATCTTGCTACCAGAAGCATTGCAATTTAGTTCTTCATTATGAAGGGATATATCATACTAAATTAAATAAATAAATATATATATATATAATGAAATTATTAAATAAACCACGGAAGCCGTAGAATGAAATGTAAATATAACATCAAATAAGTCTTAAAATGTAAAACATCATGGAATATGAATTGAAATACACCTTGACATAAAATATGACGGACAACATAAAATATCATGAAATAACTGAATACATCATGAAATGTCGCAACCAGTAAATATAAACATAGTGAAAAGCAATGTTGTTTTAGTATCTTTGAGATACTATAATTATTTTTATTGTTATTTTGAATTAGTTTATAATTATATTTTCTGTTTTCATTTTAATTTAGGTTAAAGCTGTCACTGTTATTTTTTTTTTTAATGTCTTTTTTTTTATTTTTTATAAATTTTTATTTCAGTATTAGCTATTTTAGTACATTGTGTTAAACTAAATAAGAAATGTCCTTTATTTTATTTCAAATAATGAATTTTTTTTTATGGTTTTAGTTAACTATAATAACCCTCATGAAAGTGAGTATGCATAAATAAATAGGGTGTGAAATGTATTTATGCAAAAAGTGACCTAAAATATGACGTGATATTTACCTTGTAATAAACGTTGTGTAAAAGTGGAAGAAAAATCCATAATGTGTCCCATTTTTGTTTTTCTTTTGTAGATATTGAAGACCTTCCCCCAAATGTTCAAGAAAAACTCTTCGACGAGGTCCTGGATCGAGATGTACAAAAAGGTAACGTGATGTTTTAGCATTTATGTTATGCTTTAAACCAGAAAATAATTGCCGGCACATTAAAACACTGAGTTCCTCAACTAGTTCTACTTCAGGACAATGGATATTTTGATGGTAAACTGTGGTCGGCACAACGTTGGCCTTGTTTGCAAGTAAACCCGTATTTAATGCATAGGGGTTGTATTTTCTTTTACCTTGCATAATTGTGTTCATAGTTTTGAAAAATGTCACTCAACCTGCCCACATTGACATCTAATATAACTAACTTCTACCAAGTTAACAGTAAAATTGTGCCAAGTTTAGGGGCACAGCCTTTGAAATCAACATCAAGATATGGGAGGCATTTTGTCCCACCTTTTAAAAATTAATCAGCCTATTTGATTTTGCAGTCCCAATTATACAGTTAGTTGAATTTTGTTATTTGCATTTAGTATCAGAACAAGCCCATGGCCTGTTTTTGGGTCGTGACCCACCAGTTGAGAAGAATCTGATCTAGAAAATGTCTTAGCTGGTCTATTTCTGTTGCATCCCTGAAGAGCAGCGTGCAGCTAGCAGTAACAAAATTTATCACTGGATGTGCAAAGAAACGCATTGAGAAACTGATTTATTGTGGTGTTCAGAGCTGGAAGAGGAGTCTCCCATCATTAACTGGTCTCTGGAGCTGGGCACACGTCTGGACAGCCGGCTGTATGCTCTGTGGAACCGAACCGCTGGAGATTGCCTTCTGGATTCAGTGTTACAGGCCACATGGGGGATTTATGACAAAGACTCTGTCCTGAGAAAAAGCCTCAACGATAGCTTACACGACTGCTCTCACTGGTAAGACTGGACATTAATAAAATAACACGTGAATTTTGAGATTTACAGTTGAAGACAAAATTATTAGCCCCCGATAAAATATTTCATTATTTTTTAAATAATTCCCAAGTGCTCTTTCAGAAGATTTTTTCAACACAGCATTTCTAAACATAATAGTTTATTTAGGAAGCTTGGAATATTTGTAATATAAATAGCAACAAAATTATAACCAAGAATAAAAAAGTCTACAGGTCAAAATTATTAGCCCTCTGATGTTAATAGTCAGTGGTGTATCCCTTTTGCTTGATAACAGCCTTTAGTCTTTTGTTGTAGTTCTCAACAAGTTTCAGGCATGTCTCCTGAGGAGTGCATTTCAGTCCATTCCTCCTTAGCTAATCTCTCAAGCTCCTCCAGATTTGTTGGTCTCCTGGCACGGACTCTGGTCTTCAGTGGGCCCCACAGATTTTCTATTGGATTCAAGTCTGGGCTTTGTGCAGGCCAGTCAAGGACGTTTACTTTGCTCATTTGGAGGTAGTTCTACACCAAAAATGAGGTATGCTTTGAGTCGCTATCATACTGGAAGATAAAACGTCGACCCAAACCATCTTTTGTTGCTTAAGGGTTGTCTTTTAAAATCTTCTCGTAGTCTTCCGTTTTCATGATTCCTTTGACCCTGACGAGATTCCCAGTTCCAAACGCTCTGAAACATCCCCACAGCGTTATACTCCCACTGCCATGTTTCACTCTGGAGATGGTGTTCTTTGGGTTGAGCGCCTGTCCCTTCTCACTCCAAACATAGGCAACATCTCTATGGCCAAAGGGCTCTACTTTCGTCTCATCTGACCAAAGGACATGTTTCTAGTATACATAGTTTTTCTCCAGGTTGTCCTTCAAACTTCAGTCTTGGAGGTGTCTCTTCTTCAGAAGAGGTGTTTTTCTTGGTTGGCAACCTCGCAGTCCATTCCTGTCCGGGCCTCTAGTGTCCGTCTTCGTTGAGATATCAATCCCAGACTTGGCTAAATCATTAGCTCTCTCACTATCTGTTTTTATAAAGTTATTGAAATCTTTCACTTCGTGCCTCTGTTCTCCACTGTGTGGGTCTCTTCAAACTTCTTGATAATACTTCTCACAGCTGTTCTTGACACTTGAAAACGCTTTGATAAACGTGTATATGCTTCTCCTTCTTTGTGATCATTAACAATTATTTTTCTCAAGTCTAAATTAATTTTTATTGTCTTTGCCATGATGACAGTGCATATTATTTTACTAGGTGTTTTGAAAGATACTAATCCTCAGCTTACAGTGCAATTTAAAGGCTTGGAGGATTAATTAGGTCAATTAGGTTAGTTAGACAAGTCATTGGACAACAGTGGTTTGTTCCATAGCCAATCAAACAGATCATTTCTTAAAAGGGGGTTAATAATATTGACCTTAGCTATTTTTTTTTTTTTTTTTAATAATAATTATTTTATTCCTGGCAAATTTAAATGAATAAGGCTTTCTCCAGATAAAAAATATAATAAGTATAATATATAATAATATAATATAATGATGTTAAAATTCCCTTGCTCTGTTAAACATCACTTGGGAAATATCTGAACTGAAATTTCATAGGGGGGCTAATAATTTTGTCTTCAACTGTATATAATAGTATTTAGATACTATTAGAGTTTTTATTAATACTTTGAATTCATTTTTATTTTAATATATATATTTTAATTTAGGTTAAACTTTTATTAATTTTGTGTTTTCCCATTTCTATTAATTTCTAAGTATATTTGTATCATTTTTATTCATTTTAATTTCAGTTTTAGTTTGTTATTTTAGTACATCAAGTTAACTCAAGTTCACAAACTAAATGAAAATGTTACATTGGCAACTAGCTAAAATAAGATCATTTAAAAAAATATTTTAAGTCAGTTTATTTTATTTCAAGTAATGAAAGTTTTTTTCATGGGTTCTGCAGGTCTTAAAAATGTCTTAATTAGTCTTAATTTTGAATTCTTAATGTTTTCACAAATTAAGGCCTTAAAGGGCTTAAATTGGAGCTGAAAGCCCTAAATTCATAAAGACATGGCATTAAATGTTGCATGCACTGCAAAAAAATTAATATCTTCCCAAGTATTTTTATTTTGTTTTACGATACAAATATCTAAACATTCTTAAATCGAGATACATTTACTTGAGATGCAAATTAAATATGCCTTAAGTCTTGTTTTCTAAAAAATTGAACAAAATTAAATGAGTTTATGCCTTAAAGAAGAACAAGTATCTCATAATGGGGTGTTTTTTCCTTTGAATTAAGTTGATTTGTCTGAGGCCGTTGGCAGATATTTGTTCTTGTTTTAATTATAAACTCGCTTCATTTTGATCAATTTCTCATAAAACTAGACCAGTTCTTTTGCTTCTCAAGTAAATGTATCTTGATTGAAGAATCTTTAGACATTTGAACTGTAAAACAAGACAAAAATACTGAGGAAGAACAACACTTTTGCAGTGTGAACAGAAGTTACAGTATAAGTTATTATTATAATTTACTGTTTGGGTGAGCAGATGTATTTAAGGCATAAGCTTCTTATTTTTTTGTAAAATATATTAAAAAGTAATGGAGATCTGTTGGAAGTTGTATTTTCAAACTTTGAAGTGATGCTAACTCAAGACATTTACATTTAGAGACTTTATTGGTGTATTGTCTTCCATTCAATTTATTCTTTGCTTGGTCTTAAAAAGGTCATACAAATTCTTATATTTACCTTCATAAAACCTGCAGAAACTCTGTTTTAGTTAACTGTAATGACCCTGAGTCATGTTAACTACCCAGAACACGCTAGTATTGTTTTGCAAAAGTGGCACATCTAGTCATTGTTGTTATCTTTGCTTAATTGCATCTGGGTTTATTCACATCAGTGTAATTGCATCTGTGTATTTTATCACAGATATAATGCGTGTGTTTTCCAGGTTCTACACGCGCTGGAAAGAGTGGGAGTCCTGGTATTCCCAGAGCTTTGGTTTGCATTTTTCTCTGCGGGAGGAGCAGTGGCAGGAGGACTGGGCCTTTATACTGTCATTAGCCAGTCAGGTAAGCAACCAGATGAGATATCTGGTTGACTCATACAGAAACACCCATGCAGACACACATCCCACCCGAGAGGATGAGGGCTGAACAGATGTCTGAGCAATGAGCACTTTTTATAGCACTGTTTCCATTAGTTGGTTGTTTCCATACAGATCTATAAAAGATTTTGACAGTTTCATTGTGCGTATGAAGTCAACATGGCATCAAAACTGACTATATTTACTTTCAGAATACACATTTTTCTTATTGTGAATGATTCATCAGTGCGTGTTATTCCAAAGAAACAAAATGATTTTCTTCAAATGCTTTTATCAAGATGTAACCATTTACTCCAACTCTATAAATAGTTTTTCTTTTTGGCTGCTTTGAATGGATCATTGAATATCAATATGTGACCCTGGAGCACAAAACCAGTCTTAAGTCGCTGGGGTATATTTTGTAGCAATAGCCAAAAAAAACATTGTATGGGTCAAAATGATTGATTTTTCTTTTATGCCAAAAATCATTAGGACATTAAGTAAAGATCAAGTTCAATGAAGATATTTTGTAAATTTCCTACTGTAAATATATCAAAACTAAATTTTTGATTAGTAATATGCATTGCTAAGAACTTCATTTGGACAACTTTAAAGGCGATTTTCTCAATATTTTGATTTTTTTTGCACCCTCAGATTCCAGATTTTCAAATAGTTGTATCTCGGCCAAATATTGTCCTATCCTAACAAACCATAAATCAATGGAAAGATTTTGCTTTCAGATGATGTATAAATCTCAATTTTAAAAAATTAACCCTTATGACTGGTTTTGTGGTCCAGGGTCACATACAGGTGCATCTCAATAAATTAGAATGTCATGGAAAAGTTCATTTATTTCAGTAATTCAACTCAAATTGTGAAACTCGTGTATTAAATAAATTCAATGCACACAGACTGAAGTAGTTTTAAGTCTTTTGGCTCACATTCAACAAAACCCCACCAATTCACTATCTCAACAAATTAGAATATGGTGACATGCCAATCAGCTAATCAACTCAAAACACCTGCAAAGGTTTCCCGAGCCTTCAAAATGGTCTCTTCTAATTTATTGAGATGCACCTGTATGTCAAATTATGAAAGTAAAATGAGTTGCATATGCTGTTTCATGTTGAATTATTTTTCTTATAATGAAATATTCTTATGCGTTTGGGGAAACATAGCACTGAGGTTTCCCTAGTAAAACAAACAAATTGTTTTAACAATTTATTGTGATTCTCTTGCTCTCTCTCTCTCTCTCTCTCTCTCTCTCTCTCTCTCTCTCTCTCCTTGTATCATCTTCCATCATCTTCCTGCAGCCGGGTGCGAGTTTAGAGCAGACGCACGTGTTTGTCTTGGCACACATCCTTCGGAGGCCTATCATAGTGTACGGTGTGAAATATTACAAGAGCTTCAGAGGAGAGACGCTGGGATACACGCGCTTTCAAGGTGAGCTGTGTTTAAGTGTGCTACGCTAGTGTGTAGATATTTCAATTTTATTTGGTTTGCTTGTTTTGCAATGGCTGCTTCTCAGATCTAGAAGGACAGATTGGCCTATGATCACTATCTATATAAACAGATGGATATAGACATAGATACTGTATATACACTACTGTTCAAAAGTCAGTAAGTTTTATTGTGTGTGTGTGTGTGTATATATATATATATATAATTTTATAGAATATATAGAATATAGAAATTGTGACGCTGAAGACTGGAGTAATTGCTGCTGAAAATTCAGCTTTGACATCACAGGAATAAATTCAATTTGAAAATATATTCAAATAGAAATCAGTTCTTTTAAATTGTAATAAATACAGTAAAAACTGTGTATTTTCATCAAATAAATGCTGCTCTTCTGTTGGCGAGCAAAAGAGACTTCTTAATATCGCACCAATCCCAAACTTTTGAGTGGTAGTGTGTACTGTATATATAAATTAAAATGTGATATATAATTTATATATTCATATTTCATACATTTATATAAAAGGTTTTTATGCAAGAAAGGTTTACTCAAAAAAAATATTTAGAAACAGAATATATGTATTATCCTTCTGTAAAACACAAAAATAGGTGCAGTTGTCAGCTACAAAAAATCTAAATCTAAAAAGTCAACAAATGGCCAAATCTCTTCCGAATAATTGACTTGGCCGAAGTGTTGATTTAATTATAAAGAGCTTGTCACTGCATATATCTGACGATTATATTCATTTGATCAGTATTTACAGGGATGATTAGTGTAAGCACATTAGCATTATTCTCTGGGCTGTTTGGCCACATCAACCAAGAAATGTGTGATCTATTATATCTGCCGCTGACAGGCTGTTACTGCTACTACAATGATGAAACAGCCAGCAGAAACAATCCATATATCTCTGTCAACACTCTGCTGACTTCAAACACAGTGTTGGTTTTTAGGGTCAGTCACACAGCGTTTCTGTAATTACTGTTTGCTTTGGCTGTTATCTTGTAGGTGTATACCTGCCTCTGTTATGGGAGCAGAGTTTCTGCTGGAAGAGCCCTATCGCCCTGGGTTATACTCGCGGACACTTTTCCGCCTTGGTTGCCATGGAGAACGATGGCTACGATAATCGAGGCGCGGGTGCCAACTTGAACACAGACGACGATGTCACGGTCACTTTCCTGCCGCTGGTTGACAGCGAACGAAAGCTGTTGCACATTCACTTTCTGTCAGCACAAGAGGTGAGAACAGCTCTGCTGACATCAAAACACTCTGTAGAGCATGAATATTTATGAGGGTTTAAGGCCTGTTTACACTAAAACAGAATTTGCAGTGTGAAAAATGGATTGTCTTTTTTATTTTGTGGGGAGGCTGGGTTGTTTTGTAGCCATTTTTTATTTATATTTAAAGGGGTCATATGATATGATTTCAAGTTTTCCTTTCTCTTTGTAGTGTTACAAGCTCTTGGTGCATAAAGAAGATCTGTAAAGTTGCAAAGACTAAAGTCTCAAACCCAAAGAGATATTCTTTATAAAAGTTAAGAGTCAACCTCAACCCCTAGTCTACCTAAAACGGCTCGTTCTAACACGCCCCCACATATCTACCTCACTATGTGGAAATATTAGCATAATGCCGCCCAACAGGTGAATAAGGTAAAACATTTAACTGACAGATATTTTCCCCAGTTGATTAATCATAATACATTAAGACAATTGTTTTGCATTACAAGTTTTCTAAAATGTTGTGTTTAAAAATGCAAATGATGCATTGACTAATTAAGTTTGTGCTAATTTGCATATGTTTCCAGAACAGAAATCTGAATCTTTGATAAAGCCAAAATTCTTGTTTCATTTTGTTGACATATTAAAGTTTTTTTTTTTCGAAAGGGGATAATTTGGATATCTCTTTTTATCACTCCATAAATAATCCGAAAATACTGTCAACGGCCCAAAAAAAACAAAAACATTTTGATCATGTTTTTAGGAATAAAATGTTATATAAATCACGTGAATGATGTAAAAATCTTCAGAATATAGGTAGAAATGAACTGTAAAGTTTGATGTAAGTGCTACTGAAGTGGACATTTCAGAAAACATTTGAGAAAATGGAGAAAACCGTTATTACAGTTAATGAAAACTACATTTAAAACTAAAACCATACAAAAAAATTGTTACTTTAAATAAACGTTTACTGGAATAAAATAATATAGAAAAGCATTTCTTTTTTTTTATTTAGTGTAACTTAATGTACAAAAATTACTATAAACTATACAGACACATTAAAAAATGGTAACACTTTACAGTAAGGTTTCATTTGTTAACTTTATATAATGCATTAACTAACAATAAGCAATACATTTGTTACAGCAGTAATTAATCTTAGTTAACGTTAGTTATTAAAAATTGGTAATATAACTAATTTGAACCTCTAACTCTAGCACTTTCTATTCTATTTTAATTCTATTTTTATCTATTTATCTTCTTTTGTTTTATAAAAAAAAAAAAACACTAGCTTTCTATTTTTTCTATTATTTCTACTTGTTTTTCTTTGTGTGTGTGTGTGTGTGTGTGTGTGTGTGTGTGGCTGGACGGTTACCGGCAGCTTGCCGCTTGTCCAACTCTCTCCGACGGAGAGGAGGAAGAGGAGGACGAAGACGAGTGAAGAACAGTCGGCGTTACTTGACACTACAACACAGCCCTCTCGCGTTCCCCGACACACAGAAACACACACCTCTAGCCCTGACCGAAAGACAAACCCGAGCTTTCCTTTTTGGTTTTTGTCCCTAATACGACAATTAATTTGGGTTTGTTGCAAAATAAAGGAATGCAATCATGATTGTATTTGTCTTAACAGAGTATGTTCTTTGCTTTCGTTTGTGTTGTTTTTAATTTGCTGTTTCAATGCTTATAGTGATGAGGAAGGAGTAGGCGAGAAAAAGATATTTAAATAGGTAAATTGCAGCAATTTAAGCACCCTTTTAAAAACGTCTGGTTCAGTTTGTAACAGAACCGACGCAGATGTCTATTTCTATTTGTGTAGCGTGACTAGACTGAGATTACTAAAACATAATTCACTATACGTTTGAAAACGAGCATCGTCTACGAATCACACGTATGACTGTGACGATTGCTTTTCTAAATAAAGCCGTCGTTACGAGGAGAACGCAAGTGGACATTTTAACTCGATTTCTAACAGATTTTCTGTATTTATCTGAATAATAGTTTGTGAGCCATAGAAATGAATGCTTTTCCACTCACATTGCCGTCACTTGTCGTCCCATCTTTGAACTACGCTGCAAAGAAAAAGAGGCATGTGTCAGTTTACTATGTCCGTTGGATGAGATTTCATGCCCTTTTTGGAAGGGAACATTATTTCAGCTTTTTTCCAATGTGGTCCGTTCACTCTTTCAGTTGTGTATTTTTGTGTGTGTCGTTTGTCTTTTGTGAAATGTCTGCCACAGATTTTTCAGTGCACGTTTTTTTTCACTCGGTTTCCAAAACCCTGTCATCACTTTCAAAGACTTGATGTAGACCAAAGTGAACATTACGAGAGATCTGTGGTGTGTTTTTGCAGTGCTAATATAACCGGTTAACTGCTTTGTTTTCCCCCGTTTTCATCTCATCACCTCCTGTATTTGTGTTCGGTCCTTCTCACATCTCTCATCCTCATGTTTTCTTTTCTTTTTTAAATTATGTGATAGTTCTGCTACACTATGGTATATTTGATAGATAAGGTGGAGACCAAACTTGGTGATATTGAAGACCTAAGTGTTTTGAATGTCCAACTATGAAACTATTATAAAACTTCAAAACAAAACAAAACGTGTGATTTCCTACATACAAACTACACATGCTCATATGAGAAATGCTCATTGCAGCTTTTTGTTTTATGTAAGGATGTTGCAATAGCAAATTCATTGCTATACCTTGTCTATTTGCAATTTAAATGATAACTTTTTAGACTACACATTAACCCTGAAAGGTTATTTTGAAAAACCAAAACAGTCATGCCAAAGCATTGCAAGTCAAACAATATGCTGCTAGAATATCATGGTGAGTTGTTTGGCAATACAGAAGCTGCTCAAACAATGCATGCATGCTTTAACTAGTGTACACTTTGTACAGGGTTTCTGCCACATCTGACAAGTTCATTTCTATTACTTCTCCAGTCAATGTGCTTTTTTATAGTGGGGGCAGATTTCAGGTTATATCTCAAAATGTAGTCTAATGTTTGTTCCAAACCTGTACGAGTTTCTTTCTTGTGCTGAACACAAAGACGTTCTTTTTGAAGAATGTGGGTAACCAAACAGTTGCTGGTCCCCATTGACATCCTTGGTATGGAGAAAAAAAAATTTAAAAATAAAAATGGGAATCAGCAACTGTTTGATTATAAACATTATTCAAAGTATTTTCTTTTGTGTTACACAAACTTTTCAGGTTTTCAACGTCTCAATTTTCGTTTTTGAGGGAACTATCCCTTTAAGAGAAATATATAATTATGTTGTAGTCTTCAACAAATCAATTAATAGGCCATAAATATACAAATGCGAACATTAATCCAGGTTTTAATGATTTACAGTGAAGTCTCAAAACCTAAACTAATTTTTTTTAATTACTAACCCAGGGGAAATTATAAACTGTGTAAAACAGGATATCCCTGTAAACATTTCAGCTGTGGCTGTAATGAAACCTGCCTTATGACAGATTTTTTCCAGACATAATGAAGACAACAGGTTAAGTAAAAATATAATGAATATGTTATCTATTGTATATATTTAGTAAAATGCTCCTCGTTATTTTAATTTTTTTCTAGCTAACTAACGAGCTATGAACATTACATTGCTTTCCTGAGGTTTCAAAATTTGAAAGCTTATTCTGTTTCTTTTTTTTTTAAGTAACGAAGAAACAAGCTCACTGCAGTTATTGGATGCCAGGCGTGCGGTTTAGTAAAGTTTTGTTTATACATCAACTGAAAAAAGGCACAGATTATAAAAGGTCATATATCTTGTTATTTTAATTTTTTTCTAGCTAACTAACGAGCTATGAACATTACATTGCTTTCCTGAGGTTTCAAAATTTGAAAGCTTATTCTGTTTCTTTTTTTTTTTAAGTAACGAAGAAACAAGCTCACTGCAGTTATTGGATGCCAGGCGTGCGGTTTAGTAAAGTTTTGTTTATACATCAACTGAAAAAAGGCACAGATTATAAAAGGTCATATATCATCAAAATGAGAGTATATTAAAAACTGAAAATCTCTATTATCAGCCCTGCGTCTCACAGCTGACATGCTTACCTTTTGTAACTTTTATGTTGTGTGCAGGAAACAGACACTATTGACTAAACGTGAAGTTTACAGCCAATGATTTCGACCTTCCAAAACTATTTCAGCCCAAACTGAAAATTAATTTTCGGCTTCTGTAATTATTCTGTAATAATTTAAGTTCATCAGTAGAATATAGGTCTGAAACGTTCCACAAAATAGTAATCCAAACCCAAACCAATGACAGGTAGATCTCAGGCTTTAATTGTCAGAGAATTCAGGAAAGGCTCAGAGAAACTCAGTGAACTGAAATATTTAATTGGCATTGAGCACAAACGAACAACAGAGGGTTAAGTCAGGAATTAATAGTTAATGTTTAACAAGCAAAAATAAAGTGTAAGACTGTATAATGACATGTTAAAGGTAGAGCCCCTCCGGTGTCCCCTCCTGCTTCTTGTACAGGACGTTCTCTTTAGACTTTTTGAAGTCTTCATTAGTAACTTTCATTCTCCGTTCCCTCAGAGCCATCAGCCCTGCCTCTGTGCAAATGGCCTGGAAGAAAAACACATAAAATCACTATTAAATACAATGACGTGCATATACAAATGTGTTCAATCATTCATGGCCTTTGTTCATGTTGTAATTAATATTTGAGGCACTGAAGGGATAGTCCAGCCAAAAATGAAAATTCTTCCATTGTTTACTCACTCTAACGTTGCTCTAAACCTGTATGACTTTCTTCGGTGCAACACAAAAAGACATTTTGAAGAATGTTGGTAACCAAACAGCTTTGGTTCCCATTGACTTCTATTGTAGGGACAAACAAATACAATGGGTGTCAATGGGAACTAAAACCATTTGTTTACCAACAATCGTCATATACAGGTTTGAACAACATTAGGGTGAATAAATAATGGCGGAATGTTAATTTTTGGGGTCCATTAAACCTAAATTAAAATTGTAAATTAGTCAGACAAGGTCAAATGTGCCACATTACCTTGTTCTGCAAGACAATGTTTTTCTGTGTAATCAAATTGCATAAGATTATGCATCTATTTCATTAAATGGCCCTTTGATGCTACCTTGATATCAGCACCGGAGAGGTCCTCTTTAGCCAGGATGAGGTCGTCCAAAGTCACGTCGCCTGCTACCGTCATCCTGCTGGTGTGGATCTGAAAGATTCTGCGCTTGGTCTTCTCATCCGGCAGTGGGAACTCAATCTTACGATCGATTCTACCTGTGGAATCACAAAAAGGAAACACCTAATTTTAGTCTACAAAGTAATGTGCTTCATCCAATTAGGTGCACTTTAAAACAAAGGAAACTCTCACACTAATGTTTTCTGACATCAGACGTTTGTGTCTGGCCAGTGAGTCCACTTTGATTCAATTAGCATGTGGAAAAAAACATGGTAAGCTGACTAATTCACCTGGTCTAATGAGAGCTGGGTCAAGTGTCTCAATCCTATTAGTAGCCATGATGACTTTAACGTCTCCGCGTGAGTCAAATCCATCCAACTGGTTTAACAGCTCCAGCATTGTTCTCTGGATCTCACGCTCTCCTCCTGAATTAGATTCATACCTGCAGAGAAACAACATCCAAATCTCAGTGTTTATTGCTGTTTATAATAAAAACAATCTAGTCTGTACCCGATATATACACACCTGGGGCCACAGAGAATTTTTTATTTGTATTTTTTTTATAGTGGAATTGTATATCGCATAGCTAGTATACAGCATAGCATATATTTTGTCGGTGTTAGTCTAAAAACATACCAACAGCTTTGTTTTTTGTGAATTATGAGTGAATATTGGGTAAATAAGTGTATGTAATGTGTAAAAAAAAAAAAAAGTACAAGTATTGTGTAAATAATACATTTAAAATGTAAAAAAATGCACACATTTAAATATTTAGAATTTTAATTAGTTTGTTTTATAACTACATACATATGCACCGATCAGGCATAACATTATGACCACCTTCCTAATATTGTGTTGGTCCCTCTTTTGCTGCCAAAACCCAAGAGGGTCTGGCTGCAGACTTGCACTTGCACTCTCAGACACTTGCGCTTCCGCAAGTGACGTCACTTGCAGTCTTTTTGTTCTATTTATTGATTTTTTGTTTTTGTTTGAATCTCTCAACATTTTACAACAGTAGCCAGGTGATGAAGACAAGAAAAAAGAAACTAAATTACAATGTCACTTGCAATCGCCACTTGCACTCTCCGCTACCTGCGACGTCACTCGCAATCGACACAAATCGTGCGTGTTGCCAATGGAGACAAGACGCTGTGATGGTGATTAAATGATTAAAACTAATTTAGTACTATAACGTACAGGGTCCTGCAAGAAAAAGCAAGACCAGCAAATCTGTGGCTACAGAACAGCAGAACGCAATGCGCAAAGTCTCTCGTTAAGTGTTTTCCTCCTGCAGAAAAACATAAACACTTAATATGGCTTAATGTATTAAGATACATTAAAGGCAGAGTAAGTGATTTCTGGTAGCCAATGTTGACATTGAAATCACCAAAACAAACACGCCCCTACCCCAAAAGGGTCTCGCCCCTATTTTGATAGCTCCGCCCCACATATACGTACACAACCTAGGCAACGATTAGTTCTGTGAAACAAAGCAAAACCAATGTTACACCATGTCTACACCAGACGTGCGCGATCAAATTTATGACGTGCTGACACACATTTCAAATGGTTTTCAACGGTCGTTTGATCGCGTCCAGTGTAGGCAGACTTTAGCTGTTGTGTTACTCACCGATTGAGAAGAAACAAAGCAACCTCGGCGTCCGATCGCAGGCCTCCGCTCCTTGAGTTCTCTCCAGCGCTGGAAAGCTGATCCGATATTTACACGAGTCCTACTTCTTGCCTTATCACAGATGGTTTCCTCTTTTGTTTTTTATCCGCCATCTCTATCTTTCTGTTGCTCGGCTAATGTCCATCCCATGCACTGAATGCGCGCTCCTCCACATCACGAGTAGACACGCCCCTTATTGCTGATTGGCTACAAGTTTGTTTTGCGATTCGGCCCGAATCAGTTTTCTAAAGTGTTTTTGAAAAATCACTTACTCTGCCTTTAAGTGCAATTAAAAGATCAAATTCGATAGTTATTATTTAATGTACTACAAGGCAAGCAGATGGCCATGAACATAATGCGCAAATTTTCACTTGTCCTCCTTTACAGCAAAACGCTTAATGTGGCATAATAACGGACTAAGATGATAAAGAAAATTCAGTAGCCTATAAGTCTTGTTGTTGACACAAAGTACAGACCAGCAGATATGAAAGTGCATTATTAAAAGCATTATGTAATGAAGAGGAGCACATTGAGTTTGGTCTTTATCATCTTTACTGTATTTTTGATCAAACAAATGCAGCCTTGGTGAGCAAAACCCTTCATACTCACCTCTTTGTGCCAATAGCGTCAATCTCATCTATGAAGACAATGGACGGAGCATGTTCCTCAGCCACTCTGAAGAGCTCTCGCACCAGTTTGGGACCATCACCCAGGTATTTCTGAATAAGCTCTGAGCCCACCACCCTCAGGAAGGTGGCAGACGTCTGGTTTGCCACCGCCTTTGCCAGAAGAGTTTTGCCTGCACACCAGCAAAACATAACATCAATTCAAACCATATGCTAAGAAAATGACAACATACAGATGCAAATTGGTTTTTAAGACTCCTTAGACTGACCCGTTCCCGGTGCACCATACAGAATGACCCCTTTAGGCGGCTTTATTCCCATCTCTTCATAATACTCTGGATGTGTGAGAGGAAGCTCCACAGACTCCTAAAAAATGAAATGCACAAGGTCAAACATGCCTTAGAATTCATTTTGATTTCATGCAATGTCCTGATTAATGTTCTTGTGCAGGATATCATCAGTGTATGTAATTCTAAAGACGAAAAAAAAACACATTTCATCAAAATGTATAGGCTGCATCTGCTTCTGAATTACATTTAATTAAACAGCTGACATAATCAAGGACAAGTAGACAGAGAAAAACTGCCGATAAGAACTAAAATAAAATTGAAATAAATATAAATGAATACATTTATTTTAATGAATACAATGTATGTCCTATTTTTAGAAACCAATCAAAATACAAAAAAAAAAAAAACTTTTTTGCAGTTTTTTTTAAGCCACTTTGAAATTAAATTAATTTTATGGAGACTAATCTATTACCTTTATCTCTTGAATCTGGTTGTCCAGACCTCCGATGTCTGCGTATGTCTCTTGCGGGGCTTTCTCTACTTTCATTACAGTCACCAGAGGGTCAGTGTCATCCATCAGCACCCCGATTACTGCATGAACCTGCAAACATTTACATAAATTAATAACAAAACAATTTCTATAATTCATATTTAATACATATTATAATACATAAATTACTAAAATAAATCATTTAATAACGTTTTTATTGACAACTCTAAGAAAAACATTCAAAATTCAGGGAAAAAATTGACTTCTGTAGTAAAATTAAGTCAAGTGAGTCAATATTTAAGGGGTCATATGATGCTATTTTAAAGATCATTATTTGGTGTATTTGGTGTAACAGAATATGTTGACATGATTTAAAAAAAAACCTGTCGTCCATAAAATGCATTGCACAAATTCGAACATCTGGGTTGTGCTGTTCTGTTGTAAATAAATCTTAACCAATGATTCCTAATTGCATCTACTTCCGGAAGGCCAAATAAAGTGCTTTTGCTTTCGCCTAGAAACACACAGCATCTAATGCTGCTTCAACACTAACTGCGGTTACTGAAACCACGCCTTCTTTCTTTGCGTGCACATTTGGGCGGCATTATGCTAATATTTCCGCATAGTGACGTAGATATGTGGGGGCGTGTTAGAACAAGCTGTTTTAGGGGGGCGTGGCAGAGTCTTAACTTTTATAAAGAATACCTCTTTGGATTTGAGACTTTAGTCTTTGCAACTTTACAGATCTTCTTTATGCACCAAGAGCTTGTAACACTCCAAAGAGAAAGGAAAACTTGAAATCGCATCATATGACCCCTTTAATGTCTATTTATCTTCCAGTTTATCTTAATGTCTGTTATGTTATTTTCGAGGCTCACTAACCTTGTGGTTCAGTAACACCGAGCAGCCGGGCTCTAGAAGGTCTTTATCTACAAATGACAGAATACTGACATAATGTTCCGAGCCCACTGATGTCGACACAATGGCGTGATTATCGTCAATGATCTCCTCCAGAGTTCCCACAGACATGGGCGTCCCTCTGAGATCATCCACTTTAGATCTCTCCTCCTGCAAACAAAACATGATGATAAGGGCTTTGAACCAAACTATGGTTCTTCTGATTCAAAATAAAAACAATGTTAATCATACAAATCGAAAAAAAATATTTTATATCATATAAAATGATGACACAATAATGTGCTCACCTCTTGTTTCTCCTCCAGGGGTTTCATCTGCTCCTGGTTCCTGATGAACTCCTCCTCCATCAGCAGATAGTCTTTAATTCTCTCTTGTTTGAGGAGTTTCAGCCTGCACTGTGTGTGCGGAGTGACTGAGGAAGGAAGAGACAATGACAGCTCATGGTTTTACGCATCACTACTATCTACGTAACAGCCTCCCGAAAGGTTTGGTATAATGATGTTTATTTTACCCAGGGGGAGTTTGCTAGCAGCATCTGGTCCCTTCACTTTCTTCTTCCTTTTCCCAACTCTTGTGGGAATGGGAGGCTCATACTTCTTTTTCTTATCCTGAAATTCAATGCACAGAAATTAATAATCAGTCCAGTAAATGTGTCTATTTTAACTGCTAAATTTATCTAAGATCAATCACTTCAGAGATTCGTACATGTTTTTTTTTTTATATAATATCACTTAATAGTAGTGAGGTTTTGTGTGTGTGTGAGATAAATACTCACTTTGTCATCTTTCTTTCCTCCACCAGGTCCTTGTCCTCCACTCTGACTTTGACCCTGTAAAAATCAAACATTCATTTAACCTGATGTTTTGATGATGTCTATCTCCTACACTGACTTATGAACTGATTATATTTAGTATTTTGCTTCATGTTTCATGAATTTATGACACAATAATTCAATACATCTATCTATAAAAATACAGAGAGAGAAATAGATAGATAGATAGATAGATAGATAGATAACACGTATATAGTACAAAAGGGTTCATTTACATTCAAAAAGGTAATAACATTTGTAAACAGTGTTTTAGAATAATTCATCTTATTTGTTTATATTATATATTTGTATGACACATCCATTTATCATTTTTTCTTTAATACCAGTACCAATGTTTAATAATAGGTGAATATAATAAGAATAACGTGTTGATATTATTAATCATACATTTATTTTCTTTTTATATAATACCGTGATCATACGCTGGCTAACACAACAAGCTAACTTCCCTGCTTTACTGTCTAACAAACACATTTGTCAATAGAGCCAAATGTCTAACAGTTCTATATATGCATAATTCACTTCTAAACCACGAATACATATGCATATATTAAAGATTTAAAAGAAACTTTTTAAAAAAGAGAAGAAGCGAAATATGCTGGCTCACCATTGTCGTTCGATGTCGGTTTCTTCTTCTTCTGCACTAACAGATCAAGCCAAGTGTGTCGCCTACGCCACCTTCTGGAGAGGAGGGCACATTGACTGACGTCCTCAGTACTTCTTCATAATAATCTTACCCGTGCAAATTGGTTAATAATGTTTGTAATTATTGAGCAAGTTGGTTATTAATTAGCTGCTTTTATTTTTAACGATTTGACCCCCACAAGAGGGGCTTACGCGAATAAAATATCGCGAGATTACACTATTTGCAACGAAGGGCTGTGGTTAAGGTCTCGCGAGACTTTCACAGAATGAAAGTTACCATCCTTGGTTACCATCTTGCCGCTAATAAAATAATGGGGAGCGTTGAAACCTTCAAGTCTCTGGAAGATTTCAATGCATGTCTTCAACAGTACGAGGAAGACACGAACACAAAGTTTATCGTTTTGAAGAGCGATCGTGCATTTGGCAAAAATGGCTCGTTTCAAAATTCTGTAATATCTGAAGTTCTAACGTTAGATGATTTAATAGATTTTAATTACCTATGCAGTTATTACTACTGCTCATACTCAAAGTTAGTGATCTGAACTAACCTGACCCTAGATATTTTCGGGCGCAAAACTTATAACTTATGCATACAACAACAGCGTACTAATAACTAGGACTGTATATCTTGATAAATGATTAATCTTTTGAATATTTTAGCAACCAGTTAGCATACACTGTAAAAAAATGACAGTGAATTTAACGGTAAAAGACTGAAAAAATGCTACAGTAAAAACCTGTTAAATGGTTAACGGTAAATTCCCCTACTATATACTGTGAAAAAATGTATTGGACATTAATTTTACGGTAGTATACTGGTACTATATTATACTATATACTATATGATGGGCTTTGGTTCATCATGTGACGTTCTCATCACCACCTGCATTCGCTGGTTATCAGTGTATTACAAAGGTACAAAACATTTCAGTACTTCAATAGGTTGGTATATTAACATTATATCAGTTCATGGAATTACGGTATTTAACTGTAAATTTAAGTTAAAACCGTAAAACCTAAAACGTTGCTACCGTATTTTTTATGGTAAAATTCCAGCAACCACAGCTGCCGGTTTTTTACCGTAAATTTTACGGAATTTCTTTTACAGTGTACCTTTGCAACAATCCACTATACAGCTCCACTCAAAGTTCTTATTCTTCTGTATTTTGATTTTTGTTTTTAGATCTGACAGTGGAAAAACAGCTACAGTGGGAAGTGAAGATTGTTTCTTTTAATGGTGTGCCTTTTAAGATAATTGGGAAAAAGACATATATATATGTCACCAAGGAAGAGACAAGCATGCCAAAGCCAAACAAAGACGTCAGGAGAGTAAAGTAAGAGGTTCACACAAATCTCCTATCACATCCACAAAAAGCTGGATTCGTGTCGTCAGCCTAAAAAGGCACATTGTATCAGAAGTGGAGGTTAATGCATTTTTTTTTCTTTGGAATAATGTGTACAAATAACTCCTTCACAATAAGACCAGAACTAAAGTCAGTTTTGATTTCATGTTGGCTTTCTTTGAACATTGATTGGTGTTTTATGTTGCATAAATGTTTTTATTACATTCAAAACTCTTTAAAATGATTCATTTACAAGTTATACATCGTAGACCTTGGTAAACACATGGAAAGAAGAGGGCTGTGCTGTTTAGAGGAGGTGTTTAAGGGTATGTTTAAAAGTGTTGAAATATTTTATTTCAACTAGACCAGAGGATTTGGCATGACAAATGTAATAGCAGCACTGCTAGACTGCATTTATACAAAAGCACTGAGTCTGATTTCGGATCACCAATGTTCCCTTAAATTCTGAATTTTTCATCATTGCCCGACCTGAAATTACCACTTTTAGGTGACGTAAGTCAAATATTTGACTTCCTCCAAGTGAAACGAGCCATAGGAGCAAGAGTGATAAATGTTATTTCATATTATATTAATTTCATAATATTTTAAATACTATTTCAGTTCTTGATTTTATAAATGTTGAAGGCCATCACATCTGTATGCTAAATTATTGATTTATTTTAACCCCTTCTTGTAGTCTTCCACCCTGTTGTATTGAGTCATGAGCTGAATGAACAGATCATTTCTCCAAAATGTTCTAAAATGTCAAGTGAGCATCATTTTTGGTTCTAAAGTGCTCCTCTGTGATGTTCACCATGAGAAGGCATGGATGGAGACGACAAAAAAAAAGGACAATGGTGTGGCATCTCATGAAGAGGTTCTTAAACTTCTACAGGCCATTGCAGAGTTTGAGAAAGTGATGAAAGTGATGTGACATGTGGCCAAGTATGGTGACCCATACTAGGAATTAGTGCTCTGCATTTAACCCATCCAAAGTGCACACACACAGCAGTGAACACACACACACACCGTGAACACACACCCGGAGCAGTGGGCAGCCATTTATGCTGCAGCGCCCGGGGAGCAGTTGGGGGTTCGGTGCCTTGCTCAAGGTCACCTCAGTCGTGGTATTGAAGGTGGGAGAGAGCGCTGTACATTCACTCCCCCCACCTACAATCCCTGCTGGTACGAGACTTGAACCCGCAACCTTTGGATTACGAGTCCGATTCTCTAACCATTAGGCCACGACTTCCCAAGACTGTTGGGAACAAGACTGTTATCCTTCAACAACATCCAGACTGGCAGTCCAATGAGATGCTGAGAAGGTTCTTTAGCACATGGTTTGTTCATGCAGAGGTGAGCGTGTTGTCTTGTTGTCGGTTCTGTTATTAATCAGTAACGATGAGAGTGTAAAAACTAGTATGACGCAAGTTATGCTCTTCTATTTCCTGAACTAGAAGTGGGTGAATGTGTTCAGAAATGAGGACCTGAATGTGGCCGCTTTCAAAAATAAAGGTGATGAAAGACAAAAGGATGTTCTGCAGCATTCATACCTCAAGGCACATCGAAACTGCAGCCTATAGTAGCCATTATGAGAGACTTCCTGCCGAGATCATATCAAAAGTAAGAACTGGACTGTTGTAGAAAGTCATTTGGCATCAGTCATATTTCACCCCTAGCCTAAATAAAGAAATAAAATAATACATTTTGCTGAATGAAAGTGAAGCCTTTTAGTTTTTTTGGATTGTGAAAGTTCTTTAGTGTGATTAAGAAAAAATATATTTTAATTATTAGTATTTTTAAGTATTAAATCACAGTAGTAAACAGTAATACTGTACTGCAATTGATATATGTGTGTGTGTGTGTGTATGTGTGTGTTTATATATACATATATATATATATATATATATATGTATATGTGTGTGTGTGTGTGTACATACGTACACATACGTATGTGCGTATATATATATACGCACATACGTATGTTTTGTTTTGTGAAAAAAATATTGGTATATATATAGAGAGGGTAATTGAATAGATTAGTAATAATATATTAGTATAATGTTTAATATATCACATATTATTATACATAGTATAATTTTAGTATAATGTATAAATACTATATTAGGTATAAAGCAATATTAGCAATAATGTGACCTAGATATGTTTTTGTGAGATTCATTTGTTGGTTAGAAAACTAAACATGAACTGAACTAACTAACTAACTAAAAAAAATAATAATAATCCATATACAGATATGTTGAATTGAATGTCAAAAGCTCCAATGGCTCACGTAAATATAGCACAAATGTGCCTTGTTATGTAATAGACAGACCAAGAATTATGGCTCTACACATCATGAAAAGGCACCAAGAACCGCTGCTTTAGAGTGCGAGTGACATAACATCTGCTGGAGAGAACGTCTTCAGTGTTCAGAGTCAAACTTCCCTGGAAAAACATCAGGTGAACTTTGAAAAAGACGATGAGATGCCTTCATGTACATGCATGGACTATCAGAGACATCTTCTCCCATGCCAGCATTTCTGTGCTGTTTTTACCTTAGTTCCTGGCTGGAGTTGGGAGAATCTAAGTGCTGCGTACAGGAACAACCCTCTCTTCACGTTTGACGAGGTTTGCCTTGGACAATCTGGTATACTTCCTGCTGATATTCAAGACAAAGAGGTTTTGAAGAAGAATCAGGCGAACGACACTAGTCCAGAGAGAGAGAGCTGCACCTCCAGTCCAGAAAGATGTCTGTCTCCTGCTGCTCGCTCAGAGACCATCCTAAACACTCCTAAAGCAGAAAAAAGAGAGAAGTATGGTACCTTGTTAAAGGAGATATCAGAACTGACATGCCACATAGAGGATGGGACGTTTCTAGATTCAGAAACCGATCGCCTTTCAGATCCTTAGAAGATATAAGGCAACACGCTCCCCATCATGACATCCTTGACCTTTCCTATGCACCACCATCCAAAAAACAAATGTGTTCAGCATCCACCGGACACCCAGAACCACTTCCAATCCCGAAAAGATGCTCCGTATCTGGAATAGTTGATGAGGGCAACCTATACAAGTGACTTATGAACTATATAAGTCATTTTTAAGGTGTCACTTCCCTTAATCATGATTTGTTGTTGTAAACATTTTTGTCATTAAAATGCTTTAATTTTATGTAATAATTGTAGTACGTGTGGTATTTGGAGTTGTAATATCTCCTGTTCTTCAGAAATAACATGGTTGATGTAGCCTAACAAACCCTCAGGCCGAGTGGGGTCATTTTCCTTTGCTTTCCTGACAAAAGTAGCTTGCTGGTTATTAAAAGAGCAATTTGACACAAGTGATCTTGGGAATTGTATCATAGTTTTTGTTTTTGTTTGCAGGTACTTCTTCAGTTGAAGATAATCACTAATGTAAAGATTCTCTCTATTGTACAGTGGAGTTCAAATGTTTAGGGTTGTTAAGATTTTTATTTTATTTTTGATAGAATTCTCTCATGCTCACCAAGTCTGCAGTTGATTGATAAAAAAATACAGTAATAT